TGAGCAGCTCGCACACTTTACTCTGGGAATCCAGCTCCCGACTCTGAAAGGATGTGACATGTGTGTGAATCAAAGTAACCACATTTTCTAGAACATCCCAGTCACAAGCAACAGTAAGAAAGCTTTACCATTTACAGTAAATACTTGGCTGAACTGTTCAGGACACTGTGGTCTGATCAGGTTTGACTGACAGTGGTTTGGCAACAAAAGCAGACAAATCTTTAACTGTCGCCACCGTTTTGACTCAAATTCTCCTAAATCCTGAGTGGTTAAAAATATGCAGCTGCATATTTTTCCAACTGACTCTCAGCCAACGTCAAACCAACATGCACACAGCAAAACCCAAATAAAGAAATCTGCTCTATAAGGCGAGACAAGCCCAGTGAGAAACCAGAGAAACCAGTCTTCATTCTTTCTCCGTCTACTTTATCCAGTGGTGCTTCTGGTAATGGCAGGGTTAAAGTATTGTGTTTTTGTTTATCAATGTCAACCTGAGTAAAACAAAAATGAAATTAAAAGATATAAGAACAAAAACAGTCTAAAAAAAGTGACAGCTTAAGATGCAACAACTAAATTTGGTTTTGAAAATAACTTTAGAAAAATGGTGAGAACAGAACACTGTCTCTCCCAAATTGACTTTTTATATATTCAGTAAACATGCCATCTTTCAATTATTTCTTAATCCTACAAGGTGTTGTACATGTTCACTTCCTTGCTCAGTCAGGGATCCACCAGCATGTTATAAACCAGGCAGCCCTCCTGGCCTAAGCTGACTCTGCACCGAGCACTTTTTATTTTTTTAAAGAAAGCTGCAACCATTAAATGGTGGAACTTAAAACTCTTACTTGTTCAGCTGATTTTCATTCACTAGTTGAATGACATGAAGTAAGATTCACTGGATTAAATAAACCAGAAATAAACCAACTCCCTCCTTTACTCGCTATATTTGCATAAATGTCTTGATGGCTCTTTTTAAACTTCAGGATACTTCCTGTTGATGGTCATAGTCTTTACTGTCTGTGTACAAAACATTTTAAAAATCTACCTCATCTTGACATTTACGAGGCTTTCGTGTCATAAACAGTAGGTTTGTTAGTTTCCATAATTAGTTTTGTCAGCAGCTCAAGACACGACTACTTGCGCTGGTAGCAAAGCACATTTCCACAGCACGGGAGCGTTTATGACTTAGAAACAATACTTACGAGTGCGGTGTGTATTTTCAACATATAGAAAATATTGTAGAAAGATTTAAAATATGTCGCATTTGACCCCTGGCCAATAAACTGATCTTAAAGTCAAAGTAATAATAATAATGTTGTATAGAGCCATTTAAAACTATGGTTCTACTACCATTGTTTGTACTGACCACAAGCATATAGCGACTGATATACGGGGATTCTAAATATCACAGTACTTTTGTACCTCTGATCTCTTCTTTGCGGTCAAGTTAAGCTAAACTTTCATAAAATGTCTTATCTGTAAAATTCTGCTGCCTTTGTTTGCATTGGCAACACTTATTTTTCAATTAGTCCATAAAATGTGTTAATTTTACTGCACTAAACTTCAAGTACATTTAAAAAGAACAAAGAAAACAAAATAACTACATATAAAAGACAATACTATTCCCTTATAAGTAAATACTGCCCAGCATGTATGTCTAGTTATACATGGAAATATAAAGAGAGTGTAGAATGTCAATAATGTAGGCTTTATAGTGTTGAAACTGTCTATTATACTTTAACTTGAATGTGGAATCATGTGTCTAATTAGCAAATCTAAATACAATTTCATATTTATGTCTTTAAGAACTTTAATGACAGTTTTAAAAAAATACTGCTACAACTAAAACTGAAGTTGAGCTACGGTTTGTGAAAGATGCAGTAACTACAGAAAGAACTAGCAGAGTGTTTTGGTAGCTGTAGAGCAGGGG